CTGTCCCGGGGCTCGGCTCAGGGCTGTCCCTCCCGGGAGGGGGGTCGCGGCCTTGGCCGCCCGCCGGGAGCGGGGAGGTAACGGCGCAGGTTGGGCACAGGCTGCCTCAAGGCATTTGGCTCTAAATGAAGCCCTGGTGCTGGGTGCAGCTCCGTGCAGCTCAGCGCCCCGTGCTGGGTTGCCTCCGGGGGGTGCTGAGCCTTCCCAGGGTGGCCTTGCTGCCTCTCCGTGTGGAAACCGGCTGGCAGCCCCCGCCGGGGAAAAAAAACCTCCAGCGTTACCCCTTCCAGAGGCTGCCCTTGCTCCTCTGGCAGAGGGGAAAAGCAGCTTTAGGAGAAAAAGTTGATTTCAGGCTAGTAAACTGCAGCTTCCCACACAAAGGCCGATCCCGAAACTGCAGTGGTGAGCCCCACCCCTCCACCACCTTCACACCAACCGTGGCCCCATGTCTGCTTGGTGCCAGGGGCTTTGCTGCAGGGCCATAAACCTCCTGCTGGATTCCAGGGCCTCCTCGGTGTAGGATACAGCCTGCCAGCCACAGGGCTGTCCCGAAGGTACAGGGAAGCTGCGCAGGGAAGCCTCGGGATGGCTTGAGGAGAGAGCTGGGATGTCTGTCATACAGGAGCCTGGTCCTTTGCAGAGCAGATCTGATTCAGGCAGGCGCCGGGGAGTTCATTAAATCACGTAAAGTGGTGGGGAAGTATAGTCCCTGCTGGCCCACGGTGTGCAGCTGGCCAGACCAAGTCATTCGGGAGCCTGAGGGGCCTGCTGAAATCCAGTTAGAGAGTTTTGGAGATTAGATTTGTGGGAGCAAAGAGCAACAAAATTAAATTGACACAGGCAGAAACATTTTTGAGCTGCTTGAAAACCGGGCTTAGTGTAGGTACTTTAGGCACGGTGATCATGGTGGACCATGACGTTATGGTTCATAATGGCAAGGTTTGGTTCCAGACAGAACCAAATAGCAGCATTTGTGACCTCTTAGACATGAGGCCCTGCTTCACACAGAGTGACCGACCAGACTGGCTCCTGTTGAGCCTTCGGCAGAGCAGGCCGGTTGCTGATGCAGAGCGAGGTGTCGGACGGCTACTGCGGTACTTCCCGGTGCTCCTCTGGTGCCTCTCCCTCGGCAGGCGGTGGGCAGTTTGGCTGCAGGCAGACGATCCACTGGCACACTTGTGCCGCACCCTGGCCTGCGAGAGCCGCGGGTGGCTGTGCTGCCCATCCCCAGCTCTCACCCGTGTCTGGGTGTCCGTGGTGGCCACTGGGGTGAGCTCTGGCAGCCTGTGTGATGACAGAGCTACTTTGCTGGCTGGGTCCAACAGCACCACGTGCTTTGCCTCAGCCCGGCCTTTTTGGGACTCTCCTTGTCTGGTGTGGGAGTGCAGGGCTGAGATTGCCCTGGATGTGCTGGGGGGGCTGCTGACGGTCATCTTCAGTAAGATGACCATGCTCTACATTTCCTTCAAACTCTTCTAGGAGGGTTTCACCCAGGGAAGGAGAAGAATCCTTCCCGTTGTCCCCTTGCCTGCTCGTCTCTGGCAGAGGGACAACAGACCAGCTTTGAGCTGTCACCAAGCCCTGAAGCTCCCAAAATGGGGGCGCTGGGAGGTTGGTGTGCAGGAGACAAGTTCTCTGCTGGGCTGTTTGCTGCGGTGATGGGAGGGCGGGGAGAACCTTGTATGAAGGATACTGGAGCCTCCTTCAAAGCAAACAACTCAAGGAAATGCAAGCTGCTGGTCCTCATCCTCTGGGTGCTGTGGGGCACAGCTCTGCCTTTCCTTGAGCACTCTTGGGGTGAGGATGGCTCGTCCTCCCGTGCCCTCACTAGTTGTCTCCATCTGTTTCGTTGCTGCAAGCCGTGGCTGGCAAGAAGGTGTCTGTGCTGCTGGTTTCTTCCACCCCTGCTTACCCTTGACTCACTTCCTTCCTGAGTTTGTACAATCGTGCGGCCCAGCTGCTGGTGTGGGGCAGATGTAGCGCAGCGACCTGCGGCGTGTGTGGGGCTCAGACCTGGGACTGGCCCTGCAGGAGGCCGGCTGTGATGGGCCCATCCCACCTACCTGTCCAACCAAGGCATCCTACAGCGCAGGGAGCTGGGTGCCCAAGGACTGTGTCTGGGGTTTGGGGCTGAATTGCATCCGCAGTGGAGGAAAGTGTTATGAAAGTGTTTCTCAAGAGCCGATAAATGGTGTTCAACCCCCCCTGATTTCAGAAAGCTGTGCCTTTGGCCCAACTCCCAACAGGATGGTTTAATGTACTTCCAAAGGGAGGTGGGATTTTGTGTGTGTGTGTTGGCACCGGGCAGGGGAAGGCAATCCCTGGAGGCTGGCTGATCCCAGCAATCAGGCGTACAAGTATTTTGGTACTTAGTGCTTGCTATGATGTAAATTTTTTGGTCTATTTAGAAGCTTTCCCACCCTGTCCTACAGCACTGGGCATTTAATCCAGCAACTGAAGCTGGAATAATATCTGGTTCTTGGATCTCACTTTTCTGAGACTGGCTTATCTGTGGAGAAAGGTGGGAGTGTCCCCACTTCACAGATGGGAAACTGAAGTGATGAGCCCCAGGCGATGCAGTAAGTTGTCTGTGGAGCCGGGATTAGAGCAGGAATTCCTGTCTCCCAGCTTCATGTCCTCTCTCTGTGAGCCCCTCCCTGGAGTAAGCAATCAGTCTGGAATGAGTAGGTGGCATGAACATCATTGCTACAGCAGGAAGAGCTCCATGCTGAGCAAGGCTTCGCCTCAATAGAGGTGATTAGTTATGCAGAGGTCCTGAGGACAGGCCTGGGAGCCAAGAACTCTTGTGCAGGCGTAGAGTAACCTGTGGCTTTAGGCACTCCTGCCTCTGCCCCTCTTAAATACAAGTTAACTGAGATGTCCAGGTGAAAGGTCTTCATGTTCTTGGTTGGGACTTTGTTCAGCAGCCAGAGTGGTTGGTCCATCTGCTTCATCTGGCAGCCAGAGGCTCTAACACGTTTGTTCCACCAGCCAGGAGACGGCAGTACCACTTCGGTCTTGTTTTCCTTGCCTGGGCTTGCTTGTGTAAATGGACAGAGGGTGTCTCCTCTCTCAGCTCCTGGCAAGGCTAGGCTGCAGTCGGACGTCCTTGCTTCATAACTCATGGTCCCGATTTTGTGTGCTCTGCAGGTGGTGGCGGAAACCGGAAAGGCAAGAGTAAGAAATGGCGCCAGATGCTGCAGTTCCCCCACATCAGCCTCTGTGAGGATCTTCGACAGACCCTTGGTGAGACATGGCAGCTCACAGGAGCCAGTACCCAGGCTCCGCTCCGGAGTGGGTGTGGTGCACCCAAAATTGAGCTGTGCGAGAATCAGGGACATATAACGGGGCAAGTGTCAGCCAAAGCCCAGCCAGGATCACTCAGGGTGCAGGGAGAAACTATGGGTGGGTAAGTCACAGCTGCACGGCACTCGCCAGGGCATTAATGCCTGTTGATGTACCCACACACCTTCTAGACTGTGGTGAGCTTCACTAGAGATATGCCACATTCTTTGTGCAAACAGACCTGCTTGGCGTTGCGGAGTTTTTTGGAGCATCACTCTGGGGTGCTTTTGCATAAATAACAAAGGTCCTGATAATGTCCTCTGGACTCCCTGTCTGGGATTCAGCCCTGCTCTGCAGACCTTGGCTCCTAACACTAATGCAGCAGCTTTTCTCAGGCAAAACTGGGTTCCTGCTGCGCAGTTCGGATGAGAATGGTACGGTTGGCAGGGCTTGACCTGTCATTTTAATACTGCACTTTGTACTCTTCATGGTTTTAATGTTGTTTGTGCAGCAGGCTTGGTCCTGAGATCATGTGAAATTGTTTTGGGGCATGAAGAGTGGGAATGCTCTGCTTCCTGGGAAGGGGAGAGCTTAAGTTGTCTACTCCAGATTCAGCTGCCAGCCAGAGGGTGATACAGTGCTGGCTTTGTTTCAGAGCAAGTGTCACTGAACTCAGTGGGTTTGGGAGGTTTCTGCAGCTCCAGTCCACAATTCCACCCTGCCCAGGTTTTCCAGGTGCTGGCAGACCCAAGGAGAGGATTGGCTCCCTTTGGGGGCACCTAGGCCTGTAGCACTTGGAATAACTCGACCTGCATCATCCACACTGTAACCTCCAAGCTCACAACGGCCTGGTTCTGCTGTTGTGCACGCCGTACCATCTCCTGGGGCCTGCTTCACAGCTGAGTGTGGTCAGATGGGGTCTCTACCCTTGGTTTTCCTGCAAACTGCCTCTCTGGAGCAAGTTCTGAGCACCAAACACAGCTCTGGCATGGGTTCTCCTTGCAGCTCCCATCTTGGCCCTCCCAACCCCCATCTACTTCTCTGACTTGTGTGCCCTCAGCAGAGCTTTCCCTCAGCTGATGCCCGTCCTCTGCCTGCAGCCGCCAATCCTGTGGGTGTCATGATATGTTTTCCAGCACTGAACTTCACCTTTGTTGTGCTGCCTGTTTGCCAGTGGTGAGTGCTGGTGGTCAGTCTGTCTCTGCTGTCCCACTGTCCAGGACAGTGACCTTGTGATGCTTTGGGAGGCAAGTCCCTCCCAGCAGCTGGCTGTGTCCACCCATGTCCCCACTTCCCCTGGCGAGCCACGCGAGAAGTGCTTCTGGCCCAGGTGGCGGCCACCTCGCTCGGTTTCCCCGTGGGAAAGGCAGCCTCGTTCCTCATGCTTGGGTCACTCTTTGGCTGGAGTGGTTTTGTTTTCCCCTTGCAGCCTGCTAGAAAGGCATTTCTTTCCTATTCTGGAGGGTTGGCAGGACCGTGGGCCTGGTGGGCTGGTTGCCCGCTGCAGAATTAAGCTTTGTGCACCCTGACCACAGGGAGCAACCTTGTGTGAACCAGGGCAGCGGCGGGGGCAGCCGAAAGCTTCTGATCTCACCGGCAGCAAACCCTCGTCCTCCCCAGCTGAAGGGAACTCCTTCCCCTGCAGACGCAAGGAAACCAGAGTGCGGCAGAGCTGGCGAGGCGTCCTCCTCCCCCACCGCAGCCCGGCCGTCTCTGCGCTCTCTGCACCCTCAGGAAGCCGCAGCTTCCTCGGGAGAAACTGCTGCGTGGGGAGGGGAAGGCCAGCAGTACCCAGCGCTGGCGGGGTGCTGGAACGTCCCCTGCAAGCTAGTGGATGGGTGAGCATCTGCACCCCAGGCAGCCCGCAGCTCTCGGTGGCAAGGGTTGTAACAGAAATCTGTTCTGGCCCGTGATCAGACAACGTCTTATGAGTAGAAGGGGAGGGAATAAAAAGCAGAGAACTGGAAGTGCTCTGGGTAGCGAAAAGAGATTTGTGCCCGGGCTGCCAGACTTCAGAGAGGGGTAGGAGGAATCCAGAGGGCAGTAGGAGCTGACGTACAAGCAAGTGGGTTGGGGGGGGGCTCTAGTAGCTGTGTGCAGCGTGAACAGGACATCTGTGGAAATGGTGCCTCCTATTTTGATGCTGCTGCTTCCAGCAGGGCCTTTGGGAATGTGAGTGGTTTGTGAGAGTCATCAGAGCAATTCTTGACCTGGAAGATCTGCATCGAAATAAGCTCAGTGTGTTCCTCGTTTTCCAGGGAATAGTTGTGTGTCTGGAGTAGTCAGTCGATCTCTGTGGGGAAAGGATTGAGAAGAGAGCCTCCAGGCAAGCAGGAGACTCGAAGGTGCCTTGCTAGAAACAAGAGGGACAGGCTGCACAGAACGGCAGGTCAAACCTCTTTCAGGGAAGATCATCCATAGGGGAATGCAAAAGCTCAGCCATGCTTCTTGTCCCCATTGGGGGTGCGTTTCACTCTCCTGGGATTCTCGGGCGGGTGGGACCTGCGAGCAGCCAGCTGACGAGTCACAAGCCTGGGACCAGGGCAGTGGGCTGTGGCTGCTCCTTTGGGGGCTGGCAGTGAGTGATCTTCTCCCCATTTGCAGAGCGGGACTACCACAGCCTGTGCGAGAAGCAGCCCATCGGGCACATGCTCTTTCGGCAGTTCTGCGAGACACGGCCTGAGCTGTCACGCTGCGTCAAGTTCCTGGATGCCGTGGTAAGAGCAAAGCCTGTTGGGCTTCGTTGGGGAAGGCAGGGATGTTCTTGGTGCCCTGGGCACGGACCAGTTGGCCCTGGGTGCTCTGGCAGTTGCCAGGTACTTCTGGGAACGTAGGGTTTTCCTGAAGGAAAAACCTGTGAGCTGCAGTTTCTCCAAGATAGGGCTGGGTGTTTGCTTAGGGAGCTGTTTGCTGGAGATCTGGTTTTCCAGGGAAACCTCGGGCAGAGGGTGTTGCTGCTCTGCAGCTGTTGCCTGGTAGCAAGGCTCGGTTCCTGGCTGGACCTGCTCCTCACGCTGTTTGCTCTGTGCAGGCAGGGTACGAAGTGGCTCCAGATGAGAAGCGGAAGGAATGCGGGCAGCACCTGATTGAAAAGTACTTGAAGCCAAACGTGAGTACGAGGATTGTGTGGGCTGCCTGCAACGGTAGAGCAGTTGGAAAGCTGACAGCTGTCGTTGCCCATGTCCTGTCATAGCGAACATGCTGGGCAGGATGGTGAGGGCAGAGTACAGAGCCACCCCACCACCTCACAAGCGACCGTTACTGCCTTTCCCACTGGCAGACGGGTTCCTGTGGGCTTCTCCTTCCTGGCAGGACGCTTGGGCTGTGCTCCCTATGTCTGACTCCATCCATTTGTCCCCAGAGTGAGGACCATGTGCCTGAAGTCCCCTCGCAGCTGGTGGACGCCTGTTGTGAGAGGCTGGAGCAGGAACCTTCCAAGGAGCTCTTCAAGGAATCCACTAAGTAAGTTGGAGGGCTGGGGCCTGCCTGCAGGTCGTACTGTGGCACAGGGTAGGTGCTGCAGCTAACTCGCCTTGTCCCGCGTGGTCCCTTCCTCCAGGAGAGCGAGGGCTGGTGCTAAGGCTGGGCCCTGGGGAGTTTTGGGCTAGCAGTTTGCAGCACAGCTACAGGAAAGCAAATGCAAGGAGCTCCCGTGAGCTCTGGGAGCCACGGGCTGCTGCAGAAACCTCGGTCACTCATCTCCAGTCTGCCATGGGCTCAAGTTGCCGGTTGGGAAGACCCCGTTTCAGCGAGCCTCAGCATCTGGCTGTGCTGTTCCTAGTCTTGCGCCTGGATCTCGTAGGCACCCGCAGAGCCGAGCTGACCGCTGCAGTCCCAGTGCCAGCTCTCCTTTCCCACCGGCCGCAGAGGTGGCCGTTGCGGTTGGGTTACACTGGCTGTTGCTGCAAGGATCTAAGGTCACTTCTGTTCTCATGGCAGAAGGGGTGGCTGAGGTCCCGGCTCCGGGTGCAAAGCAGAAGCTGTTAGGCAAACCGGGCTTACGGCCTCCACCCCTCCCTGAGCAGTAGCTGGAGCACGTTGCCTAATCGAGCACGGGGCTGTGGCAATGGGTTTGCTGCGGCCTTCTGGAGAGCGTTAGCTCCATGTGTGGTAACTGGTGTCGCTGTCTGAATGCGGAGCCTCCGGGCTGGGCCCTGCCTGCTCTTGGCAAGCTCTGAAAGGGGAAGAGCCTGTCCGCTTCTCCTTGATGCATGTCTCCAGTCTAGACACTGAGTCTAAGGCTCTTTACTCCGCTGGGCAGCCCTGGCACCGCTCTCTGAGGCAGTTAGCTCTCTCGAGCAGGATCCCCTGTGGCCTTTTGTGCTGGAAATTCATCTGAAACTGAACAACTCAGCACCTGGTGCTGAACACTGCTAGCAGCTTTCGGCAGCTGATTACAGCCTTGAGTGTGCATTTGCCTTGTGGGCAGAGGGGCAATTGCGGAGTCCCATCGTCCCTCTTTGTGCCACAGCCTGAGCTGGTGCCGAGAGGCCACAATCAGCAGTGCCAGCCCAGTCCCAGGGTGCTGTGTTTGTCACAGCAGACCTCCAGCATGCCTTCCTTTTGCGTCAGGCTTAGCGTGGAGGGGGGCTTTCTGGGCCAGGGCTACGTGGGTGATTCAGCACTAGGCTGAGTGAGGCGATGGCAAAGTGACCGGGCTCTCAGGGCTGCTCACCTCCTCTTTCCTCGGACTGCTGGCTTCTTCCACAGCTGTGATCAGCTCTCAGGAACCTTGCTGGCTTTGCTCTCTCCTAGGCTTATCCACGATTACCTGAGTGTGGCTCCCTTTGCCGACTACCTCGACAGCTTGTACTTCAATCGCTTCCTGCAGTGGAAATGGCTGGAACGGTAATGCTCCCCAGCATCGCTGGGAGACCTGCACCCTCCTCACGTGGGCTGCCTGAGGGGTCCCTTGGGCTCCTTCCCGTGCTGGGCCCTGGCAGGAGCCAAGGGCCTGGCCTTTGTCTGCTCTTGCTCCCCTTCAGGGCCCCTTATTGGCACCATCAGAAGCCCCAGACTTGCTTGCCTCGCAGGGAAGCAAGGTCTGCTTGAGCAGGGGTTCTGGGGTGAGCCACAGTCTCTCAGGCCAGGGCATAGGGGTGGTTTGGGCTTCAGCCCCTGCTCTCTCCCTGCTCCCATCTCACTCCACTTTCCTTCACAGGCAGCCAGTGACCAAAAACACTTTCCGCCAGTACCGTGTGCTGGGCAAGGGTGGTTTTGGGGAGGTGAGTGACCACCATTTCCTCTGCATTCGGGGTACCAGGCAGCCACTGTTCCCTGCTGCCAGATGCAGACCTGGGTTGGCCATCAGGTTGCCACAAGCAGCTGGAGGCAGGTGCTGCTGGCTGCGTGGGCTGTGGGGGCTCTGCGCTGGGCACTGCTGCGCTCTGGGCATTGCATGACCTGTCAGCTCCCCTCTGAGGGGCAGGAGCTCCCCTCTTGCCGGGTGCTGGAGGCGTGAGAGGTGTCGTGCAGGGTAGGTGGCACATGCCCTGTGGTGCATCCTGCCGCCTGGGCAGAGTTGGGTCTGTTCCCCGTGTCTTGGCAGGGGAAACTGCGCTCTGAAAACTGTCACTGTCAGACTTCCTTCTGTTTCTGGAGTGGCCTTCTGTCTTCCCAGGCACCAGCCATGGTGCTGCTATGGGTGGCAGGGGCATCTGTGTCATCTGGAGATGTTGCTGCTCCCTGTGTCCTTGCTTTGACAACGGGCTTCTCGCTAACCTCAAAGAGGGGGACAGTGACATCTTTGCTTTCCTGTGCCTCTTCCTGAGAGCAGAACCTAGGCCTCCACGCTGTAAACGGCAGCAGGAGGGTGCTGAGCCTTGTCTCTCCTCCAGGTTTGTGCCTGCCAAGTGCGTGCCACAGGGAAGATGTATGCCTGCAAGAAGTTGGAGAAGAAACGGATCAAAAAGCGGAAGGGAGAGGCCATGGCCCTGAATGAGAAACAGATCCTGGAAAAAGTGAACAGTAGGTTTGTAGTAAGTACATAGGAATTGCTCTCACTTTGCTGCGGTGGTTGATTCTTTCTCCAACCAGCCGGCCTGGCACCTCTGTGCTCCTTCACCCAGTGTGGAGAGGCAGGAGCAGGCCCTGCCCATGGGTAGGGTCCTGGTGGCCGCAGATCTCTTGCAAGGCTGGGGTCTGGCAGGACCTCCTACTGCCTCCACAAGATGCTGTAAATACCCCCAAAGTCAGGCCCAAACACCCATCTGGTCTCAGGCACCTTCTTAACCTCTGGGGCACAAGAAAGGAGTGAGAACTGTCTCTCCAGACAGCCAAGTGGGCAGAAGCCTAGCCCTGAGCCGTGTGGTGGGGAGCTCTCTCCCTGCCTGCACTGCAGTATGGACAGCCTGAAACCTCCCTTTACGGGGGATTCCTCAGACGCTGCCCCAGGGTTTCTGTTGGGTGCTGCTTGCCCCTGGAGGGGGGCAGTTCTGGCTCAGGAACATAGTGTCTTCCCTATCTGAGGAAAGCTGGGGGTGTGCAGGGGCTGCTGGGCACTTCCATGTCCTCCCCGGGTTTGCGCAGTTCCCCCTCTGCCTCCTCTGCTGGCAAAGGCCCAGTCCTGCTGCCCACAAGTGGCTGCTTGGGTGGCAAAGTGCCCATCAGAGTGTGCACACCTCCCTCTTCCAGCTGTGTCTTCTAACAGCCTTTCTGCCCTGAATTGCAGGTGAGCTTAGCGTATGCATATGAAACTAAAGATGCTCTCTGCCTAGTGCTGACCCTCATGAATGGAGGGGACCTCAAGTTCCATATCTACCACATGGGAGAGGCTGGCTTCGAGGAGCCCCGGGCAGCTTTCTATGCTGCTGAGATCTGCTGTGGCCTCGAGGACTTGCACCAGGAGAGGATAGTGTACAGGTGCGCACTGCCTGGCCCCTGCTGGGAGACCTTGTATGGGCTGCAGAAGCAAGAGGGTTCCTGCTGCTCTTACTAGCCCAGCTGGGTCTGTCTGCTGGAGAAAATAAGCTCAGGCTTGAAAGCATCACAGAGCTGGCTGAGAGGCAATCGGGAGCAGAAAGCTGATCTCGTGGGAGAGATGGGAGAGCTTAGCTTGGCTTCCTTGTGCTGGTAAATGATGGCCAAGAACAGGATGTGATCACACTGTGAATTCCTCAGGGCAGCCACTTGGGTGCTTAACTCGGCGGGCAGTATTGACACTAGAACAAAGGAGGGTAGGCTGCCCCAGTGTGCTCAACACTGAGAGCTGGGCAGGAGGGAGAACAAGCTGGCTGTATGACTATGCTCACCGGATTGTGTGGTGCAGCGTTAGGGACAGCACGGCTAAACACAGGGACAGAAAGTCCCTTCTGGTCCTATCCTGCGCCTTGCCCTTGGGTAGGGTAAGCAGAAGAAGCCCCTGCTCCTTCTGTCTTGCACAGGCTGCCCTGCAGTCAGCTCTGCCCCTGCAAAGAAAGGATCAGCCACAGGCTCGCCGCTTCCTTGCAAAGGGTTGAAGGTTGTCATGACCTGTCTCTCTACCTGCGATGAGGGAGCTTGCAGGGCTAACTCCGGGGCAGGGCGTGAGGGGAAGGTTATTTTACTGTGCCTGAGGCAGGGGCATTACATCCCTCTGCTGTTTATCTGTGACTTCTTGAGATGTCACTGTTCCTTGTGTCCTTTGCTTTGACAACGGGCCTCCTGCTAATCCGGTCCCTTCCTTCCTAGGGACCTGAAGCCAGAGAACATATTGCTAGATGACCATGGTGAGTGCAGGTCAAGAGGAGCCCTGGGCCTGGGTCCTTCTCTCTTCCTGGGCTTGAGCCAGGGTTACTTTGTGTTCTTGGCAGCTTCAAACATTGCCCTTTGCCCATGTCCTATTAACTTGCCCCCTCCTCTCTGCAGGTCACATCCGTATCTCAGACCTGGGGCTAGCTGTGCACGTGCCAGAGGGCCAAACAATCAAGGGCCGGGTGGGGACAGTTGGCTACATGGGTAAGTGGCCCTGGTTTAATCAAAAGGTGGGCTCTGACTGCACACGCGCTCTCCCTGCCTTCACATGTCCCTCACCCCTGCTCCTGTGTAGCTCCAGAGGTGGTGAAGAACGAGCGCTACACGTTCAGCCCAGACTGGTGGGCTCTGGGCTGCCTGGTGTACGAGATGATCGAGGGACAGTCCCCCTTCCAGCAGCGCAAGAAGAAGATCAAGCGGGAGGAGGTGGAGCGGTTGGTGAAGGAAGTGCAGGAGGAGTACTCGGAGAAGTTCTCGCCCTGCGCCCGCTCCCTCTGCACCATGGTACGGCTGTGCATCCCTGTCCCTTCACTCCCACTGCCCCTTTGCACGCAGCAGGAGAACCTCAGGCCTGCTCCCTGTAGAGGTGCTAGTGGCAGCCAGGTTCTCTGGCTCTGATAAGACCGTGCGGGAGGGTCCAGAGTGCCTTAATTCCTCACTTTCCCAGCTGCCTAGCAGGTCCACACCGTCCCTGAAGATCTACTGCAAGAGCCTGGCCGACTTCAGGGCTGTGCCTGCCCAAAGCACCCTCCACCCAGGGCACTGATTTCCTTTGTGTTGCAGCTCCTGTGCAAAGACCCTCTGGAGCGCCTGGGGTGCCGAGGAGCTGGGGCCAAGGAAGTGAAGGAGCACCCTCTCTTCAAGCATCTCAACTTCAGGAGGCTGGAAGCAGGCATGCTGGACCCCCCCTTCAAGCCAGATGTAAGTGCCAGTCTGTGTCCTTGGTCTCTTCAGTCACTGGTGCTGTCAAGGGAAGCAGGAGCCCTGGGGTGGCTCATCTGAGGAGATGGTGCCCATCCCCTTCCTGCTTGTTACTGGAGCCTGGCAGAATAGGGGTCAAGCAGGCTCTGGGCTGCAGGGTGAGGGGGTCCAGGCTTGACCACTAGCCATGGTTGTTTGAGGTGGTGGCAGCTTAGTGGATCCTGTCATTAGAGCAGTCTTTGTGCTGTTTAGCCTCAGGCCATCTACTGCAAGGATGTTCTGGACATCGAGCAGTTCTCCACGGTGAAAGGGGTGGAGCTGGAGCCCACAGACAACGACTTCTACCAGAAGTTTGCTACGGGAAGCGTGCCCATTCCTTGGCAGAACGAGGTAGGTTTGCAGGACAGGTCTTTGCTCCTGCTCGTGCCCGCCACGGCCGTGTGCAGTGTCCCACAGGGTTCGTGCTGTCCCTGCTGCTCTTGTGCTCTGCTGGGCCCTTGGTGATGGGCTTTGTATGGCAGTTGCTGCAGCCATCTTTGTCCTCTTCCAGATGATCGAGACGGAGTGTTTTAAGGAGTTGAATGTCTTTAGCGCAGAGGGCACAGTGCCCCCCGACCTAGACTGGAAAGGGCAGCCTTCTCCACAGCCCAAAAAAGGGTTACTGCAGCGCTTGTTCAGCAGACAGGTAAGAGTGTTTGCCCGGTGTTTCCTGAGCCCGATCCTGCCTGTGCCAGGCAGATCTGGCAGGGAGGTGGGCACGAGGGGGAATCAGGCGAAGTCTCCCCCTGTGCTGGGTGTCCAGACCCCAGGGCTCTCAGGGAGACCCACGCAAGGCTGCAGAGAGCCAGCCCTCGCCTGGCCGGCACTACCCATGCTGGGGGAGGCGAGGGGGCTGAGGATGGAGTGTCCTGGCTAAACATGCTGCAGTCACACAGGGAGAGGGATGTTGTTGAAGGCACTAAAATAGCAAGTCTGCTCCCTTCCTACATGAATAATACCATCCTTGAATAAGTTCTTGCTCTTGGAATGGGCTCCTGGGCTCCCCAGAGCATTTCTGCCAGACCTTGAGCAGGCAGAGAGCGCAGTGCTTTCGAGGGATGAGGAGAACGGAAACGTCTTGCAGCTGCTATGGGCTCACTTGCCTGCCTGTCTCCTCTGCCCAGAACAGTCTTTGCCTTCTTTCCAGGACTGGCAAAGTCTGGGCTGCTGCCTCTCAACAGCTGCTTGCAGCTGTGGGCCTCGAGCACGGTTGGCTCTAGACCCACTCTCAGCCACTCGGTGCTGACTCCTGCTTCCCTGACGAGCTCCCTGTTGTGTTTCACTGTTCGGTGGGCTGCCCTAGCCAGAGCCAGCTCTGGGCTGGGATACTCAGCCCTTCCCGAGGCAGGTGTGACCTGCTGGAGGACGGGCAGCCGCCTGTAGCAGGGGTTGAGCTGTGATTTGCCACGTGTTTTCTCTTTCCAGAGGTGAGCAGTCTCTCCTGGCTGCTCTGCTCAGGGAAATACCCGGTGGCCCGCGGACGTGGCAAGATCTGGGAGAGAGGAGTGTTGTCCTTCAGTGCCTATCCCCTTCCCCCAGCAGAGCACAAGCTGCTTGTTGTTCTAACTGCCCCCTGAGCCACTAATCCCGCTTCCCTGCTCTCGCTGCCTTCGTGGCGGAGGCCCTGCCCTCAGCTTGAGCCAAAGCTGCCCCTGCAGCTTCGCTCTCAAGGGGGCTGTGGGAAGTTTCCTTCACTCCTCTCTTCAGGTGCCCAGGACACACAGAAGGGTTGAGAAACCAGGAAGGGTTTGGCATTGCCCTGTGCTCAGACTCCCGTTCCAGCGAAAAGGGCTTCAGCTGCTTCCGCGGCCGGCTGAGCCCTGCGCGGGGCAGACTGTCTGTGCTGGCACTGAGCTGTCTCCCGGGGTGGCTGCAGTCCACAGAGCCCATCTTCCTGCCAGCTTCTGAGCTCGTCAGCTGCGTGCTCATCAGTCTGTCTGCCAGGAGCTGAACCCCCAGATGCAGCTTGACTGTTTCTCTGCAGACTGGGGGTCCCCTCCAGCCCCTTGCCTCTGTGTAGCTCTCCCACACGCAGGCCGGGGGAGGGGGGCCTGGCCCCTCCCTGCCAGAGGGCAGCTGTAGGCTGGGTTGTGTGACCATGCTCATCCTCTGCTTGCTGTGCTCCTTTCTCCCTCCTCCCTCTCCTTGCCCTTCTGACTTCAGGACTGTTGTGGAAACTGCAGCGACAGCGAGGAAGAGCCCACACGGCTGTAGAGCACAGCTTGTACTCCAGCCCCTGGGACCCCCCTTGCCTCTCCAGTCGCCCACCAGGACAACAGCCCAGCCTGAAGGACAAGATAGCAGCGGCCCCGCAAGGTGGATTTGTTTACAGCTTTACACGTCTGTGTTGGAAGACTGAGGGTGGCTCCAGGGCTGGCAGCAGGACACAGCTCGGGCTGAGGTGCCTCTGACCATGGGCAAGCCCTCGTCCCCGAGACAGACCTGGGCGCTTCTGAATCGGCCACTTGGGATTGTGCTGCTGCCGCCCGCCGGCTGCTGCTCCCCTCCCGGGCCCAGGGTGGGAGGGAGGGATTGCGCCAGCGTGGGCCGAGGCCAGGCTGGAGCAGCTCTGCTGACACATTCCATGGTGCCAAAGCGGCACTGCAGGTTTGGTGTATATTTATATAAGTTGATCTGTACATATCACATGTCGGTTTTTAATCTATAGGTGGGGGCCTGCACTGCCTCCACCCTGTCGCAGGCGCAAATGTCCTCCTATGGGGGGAGCGGCAGTCCCAGCTTTGTACCAGGGAGTCCTGGGCAGAGGCCTTCTGTGCCTTGAGGTGTCTAAAGCATCTTTCCTGGACCTTTCTGGCTGTGCCGAGGCATCCCTGGCTCCAGCAGAGTCCATTGCTCAGCCCCAAGGCACGGGAACCACTGTGCCAAAGCATCTACCATTGCGTCCTGGCAGCAGAGCGTCACTGCCTCATCCTCGCTTCCCCGTCTGCCGGAGTCTGCTTCCTCCTGCCTCGTCTCGCACATGCTGCCAGCTCTGGAGAGCTGATCCCTGCCCGCTCTCCAGACCGCCACATGGCTGCCTGCGGTGCAGCAGGACACGGCCACTCCGACACCTGCTCAGAAGGTACCTGCTGCTGGGTCCAGAGCGTCGGTCTGATCCCCTGGCATGGTGCAGAATGGCTCCAGTGGTTATTCCAGCTCTGGACCAGCCGTCTGTGTGTGCTGGAGGTGCTGCAGTCCTCAGGCCCAGCTCGGCGTTGAAGGAGCAGACACATAAGGGACCCCGCTCGCAGGGAGCAAAGCCGTGGTAAAGGGAATGTCCCTTCCTGGGGTCATGGTGTGAGCTGTGACCCAAGTGAGCGGAGCTGGGATGAGCCTGCCCCATGTACCAGCTTAGTGTGTGTCCCCAGGGGTCCTGGGGAGCCAGCACAGCTCCTGTCCCCAAGGGGAGGGCAGGAGCGGAGGGGCTGGAGCCTTGTGTGTGTCAGGGGAGCAGTGTGGGGTTCAGCCCACCTCTCCGTTCTGTTTGTCCTGTCCCCTCTTATGCACACTTGTCCCAGCTGTGTCCCGAGCAATAACTCGTCTCTTCTCTGTGTGTGTATGTGTGTGTGTACACACATGCGTGCGTGCGTGCACGTGTGTGTGCTGCTGCCTCATGCTCGTTCTGAGCCAGGCCCCCCGGGGGGGCTGAGCATCTACTTTGGACCTGTGGTATCATTTGCTTGCCTTGCACTAAAGTTGGAGAGTATTTAAATTTTTAACCTTTTGTTGAGCCTAAGATGCGCCGTGCCTTGTACTGCTGTTGTGGCAAGGGGGGGCCCACTCTGGGCCATACAAGGAGGGGAAGAGCAGGGACCCCTGTTGCTGGGCTACCATGGGCTCTGCTGGTGCTCCTGTCCTGCAGGGAAGGGCTGGGGCTGAGCCCCAGGGACCACAGGTGTCCCTTGGTGGCTTCTGCTGGGTGGTTTGGGTCCGTGCAGGGGCATGCCAGGTACAAGACCTTATGCTGTGGGGTGGTCACGTCTGCTGTGGTCCCCTTTGGGGCATGTCCCCCCTGCTCCCCTGTCAGTCCTTGGCACAGCCCCTACTGGGCCCTCACAGGTGTGCTGTGGGGCTGGGGACAGAGTCCTGCTCCCCTCCGTGCACTGTGCATCGCTGCTTCGGGGGGGACAGGGCACCGTGCGGAGGGGGAACCTTGTGCCAGGGCGGAGCACTGCCCCCTTAACCCAAGGGACAGCCCCTCCAAGGGGGGACGAGGTGTGAGCAGGGTTAGGGTCACGACAGTCGCCATGGGGGGGTAGCGTGCAAAG